CGAACCCGACGGGTTGACCCGAATTGACACCCCTAATCTTCGTTCTTGTCCTACCTCCTCACGCCTCTCCTCATACCCTCTGCCCGGCTCCTCCCTAGAAATAGGCTCTAGGAGAGGTATTTTCTCTTCTCCCTTTCGAGTCTCCACCTCCTGATCTCCCCTTTGTCTGATTGGCTTAGGGTTTTTCCCATCTCCGTGGTTGTCGTCGCCTTCCCTCACCTCCGACAATGATATTTTGGTTTGGCCCTCGAGCACTTTCTTCAATATCTCCTCCAAGATGAAAAATTTCAAATCGAACTTATCATAGATGGCTGAGACATCTTTTTTAAAATCTAAAACTTGAGTTTAGATATCTAAAATTTCAGATTTCATTCGTCTAATCTCCACTTCAAGGTGTTCCTCCAACGCATCCATTTTCTTGGCTGCCATTGATGCTCGGATTTTTGTATAAATAAAAATCTAGACTCCGATATTCAAAAACAGTAATTTTCTTCTTTGAAATCCTAAGAACCGCCGTTGAAATTCACCAAAACAGCCCACAAAATATCTCGAAAACAGCTCTGATACCAATTTGATAGGAAACACTTGTATATTTCAAGTGAATCCTAGCAAGAATCATTTTGAGAGGTAAATCCAAAAAATTTATGAACTCAAGTACCCATCTTTACCAAACTATAGCTATTGTTAGCGACTCCTAATGGATGAGGACTTTACTAAAGCTTCTCCAGTCACATGCTTTCTTCGAAAGACACCTTTCTCAAAACCACATGTTATTTTACCACTGGATATATACATTGAGGTTGAATATAAGATGTTTTTAGTATAATAGATGCATTGTATAATGAGTACAAAGATATTTGAAATTATTGTTCTTGCACTGGAATTCGGGTTGTACTTTGTCCTGCAATAAAGTGTTTGAATTCTAAATGAAGTTCAGATATGATCCGCGTCGGTAATTAAGTTATTCAATTAGATCTTTTTACTTTGTAACACAAAATCAACAATGATGGTTGATTATCTTGTTTAAGACCAATATAGGATATATTAACTATTGAAACAAAGCCAACCTAAACAACATGCACTTGTTACCCATGCCCTATTCCTTGTAATATAAATAGAAACTATTTAACATCGATAATTTTTCCTCTTGAAGTGCACAAATAATTTGTTTCTTGCCGCTAACAATGGATTTACAAAAGTAGCTCTGCTCAAATATTTTGGTATAGCCAGCATTTAACAATTCACAATTTTGTCTTTTAATTTCGAAAGGAGAACAAATATATATTTCAAATTCATGAACGTATGCAGAAACTAGTAGCATATTAGCAGTTTATCAACATAAATTTGCCTCTTAAACATAAATTAAATATAATGTTCAATAAATGACCTGAAATAAGTATGTCAGAAAGTTCTGCTCAAGAACATCGATCTCTTCAGAGGATAAATTTTGTTGTTCCAACCTCTGAGCGCCACGGACTGGATCAAACAAGGAATGCAGTTGCTGTAAAAGCAAACAATGTTTGTTTAAATGCTAAAGAACAGACAACAAAATTTGATAACCAAGAACTTAATTGGGACTACTACCAGTCAAAAGGTGCACCAGCATATTGTTATCTAATATTAGTATAAAATATTGCTTATAAATCAAGAGAATCTGAGTGGGGGAGGAAGTTATATGGTGTATCGCAATGAGTGAAAGAATGATGTCTACTAACAGGATGCTCCACACCATTGATGCCAAATATTTCCCAAAAATCAAACGGACAAATGGAGATGATCACCCACAACATATATATAGATATATACCGCTTCCCAAAACATGAATGAACAAAATGGTTCTTGGGAGGCTTATCAATCAGCTTTCATATGTTGAATGGTTCTAATCATTAAGGCCATTTCATGTAGAAACTTGATTTATAGTATGATAATATTTTAATATAGAATGGTACCAATAATATTTGAAGATAGAGTGACATAAATGTGATAAAATTAAGTATCTTGGATATGTTATCAAAAGAATAGAGATATAAACAATCATATTTATATAATTAAGGTTGGTTGCTTAAAATAGAGAACAAGAGTATCATGTAATTAAAGATATATAATAGAGACTTAAAGCTTAAGTTTATAGAATTTCAATTAGGCTAGCTATTTTGTTTAATCCAAGTGTGGGCAATAAAAAAGTCAACAATAGTTAAGTTGCATTTGATGAAAATAAGAAAATTAAGATAGATATGTGGCAAACTAAGAAGGATAAATTGAATGATTAAATTAAAAAATTATTGGAGTTACGAATATTGAAGATAAGATAGTTAAAAATAAACTAAGATGGTTTAAACATGTACAACCAAAGATAAAATATAATCCTATCATACGAATAGATAAAATTAGTGCCAGAAGACTGAAAGGAAATATAGGGGAACTGAAGATAATATAAGACAAAAGTTGTTCAAAATGATGAATGAAGAATAGGTTTTATGCCTTATCCAGCAATCAATAGGAACGAAAGAAAAATTTAAAACTCATAAAGCTAGCCCCAAATAATTAGTAAGATGTTAATAATGATGATGCATTGATTTATTGTATTTGTGTAGATTGTACTTTTTTAATAGGTTCATTGAACTATATATTATTCCTTTGATCAACATCTTTTGGTGTAATACTTCAGGGATTCAGGCCAAAAATGATGTAAACAATTTGACATGGGCCAAAACTCCATTATACCAAAAACTTATGGCAACAATGACATTGTACAAGTGTGTGCATTCGCACATGGATAAGGGTGTGTTGAGAGAGAGAGGGGGAGAAAGAGATGCAGCTTTCTAGAGAACGAAAAGGTTGCATGATTTCTCAACATTCTAGCGTTGTATGGGAAGATAAATCGGAGATTCTTTATCATATGTTTAAACTTGCGCTTCCGTTTCCATCGAAGTTCATATTAGAAAGATTACAGTACACTGAATATGATAGAATTGTAAGACTGAAGATATATAGCACAATTTTAGTATGAATTTTTATTTAATGAACTCAATATACCATCAAATCCTCAAACTGAAGAAGATACCAAGCTCTAATAGTATACTCCACCCTCTTGCATAGCTTCAAAAACTCAGCTCTGTCGGTACCATGCTCTGTGTAAAATTTTCCCAGTAAGAATACAAGAAAATAAATGAAGATGGTGCTTAATTAAGTAACACAACTTTTTGTCAATTCATTTATGCTTCAACCCAACTTCTTATCAATATAGCTTTCAATTATGATTAAAAAGTTCAAAAGCCGTGCGCATTGAAGATGTGACTTAGCACTTATGGCATGCATTATAGCATTCATTAAAATGTGTTATGGCAGCTGTATTAGTAAAAAAAAAAGCGAAAAAAAAAACAATGTACTAGTAGCAATGAATAAAAAGCTTATACAACTAAATAGACGAAGCCTTGGAGTTTTATCCTAAGATGCATTTTAGCGTCTTCTCCAAACTTGATAGCCCTGTGATCCATCTAGAACACAAAAAAAGCTCAAATAGTAGAGCCCCATGCATACGAAGTTAATTAAATATCCTGGTGTGTACTTAGTGCAGGTAATAACATTATCACATTTTTATTCTACCAATTATTTAAATGGCTTATTCTTATGCACGCATCAATTCTTTAAGACATGCATTTCCCTTCAAAATATTAAATATTCCATTTGGTCCCTGTGGTTATTAATCTAGGGATGCCCACAAGGAAATATGGAAATTTTACTTTAAGAAATTACTAAATGAGATATTTAAGGAAATTTTTATTTTAGAAGATGATAATAAACAATATAGTGAAATACTGATGCAGGACTTTATATGAATGCGATCAATTCATTAGGAATTTGCATAATTCTTGATTGGAATAAAATAAAAACAAACTAGTAGCAGTTAAAACAATGAACTAAAACGATTAAGGGGTTACACCCGCTTAGGCTAAATTACATAACCAGAGAGTTGGAAAAGTTTTCAAGACAATTAGTAAATTACTTAATGGCGTAGTGGTAGCTTCAATACAATCCCTAATCTAACAATGAAAATTAGCAAGATAAAGGCACACTCAAAACCCTACGTTTACTAAGCTTAACAGTAGCGGAGGGAGTCGTCCTTTGTGACTACAATCAAGCACAAGATCCAATTAGACTAAAGAAATATAGGAAAAGGAGAAAAGAGAACCTCTCGTCAAGGAGTAGTGGAGATCCTCCACTCGATGCCTTCGAAGTGCTCGTCAATTACTTCCACCAAGGTATCCAGAATGCGCTCCAAATAGTCTTCGACGGTATGGTCAATCCTTGGATTCACGTCGAAGAAGGTTGATCGTAGGATATTGGTGAAACCGTCTTCGTCCCACGTTAAACCATATTCAGTCTCCGGATCCGCCATTCATGGGTGATTGAAGACAAAATCTCCTTAGTATTTGATACGACTCTTGAGTGCTAGCAAAGAGAAAGAAGTTTCTCTTGCAAGTGGAGAGGAAGCAAGCAAGGCCAAAATCTGAAATAAATTTCAGGTTTTTGCAAGGTGGAAAGCTATGGAGGGAGAGAGCAATAAATCTGAAATAAGTTCAGATTTAGGTGAGGGGATTTGCTTTGATCCTACCTTTAATTAATTCCCTTTGATTGGGAATAATTAAAGAAGAGGATGAAAAGGAAGAGGGGGGCGGCGGGTAGAGAGAGGGGTGGAGAAGGGTTGGCCGGAGGTGGAGGTAAGGGAAGGGAGGGAAAGGGGAGGAGAACCAAGAGCCACCGGTGGTGACTGTTGGGTACGACGGGTGGCATATCCTAGGCTCCACCAAGCTCTCTAACTCTCTCTCTCTCTCAAGCTCTCACATAAGCTTCAAGAACACAAGTGCAGGAAAATTTTCTTCATCATTCATTAACTTCAAAACGCAAGGCATGAGGCTATAAATAGCCAAGTACACAAACTCAAGAAAAGAAAAAGACAATCTTGTCCTTTGGGCTTATATGCGACATTCCCCACTAAAAGAGTACAACTGGAAAAATAATAAAAACAAATACATGACACATGCAAATAGAAAAATACATGAATAACATAAATAACTCAGAAATATAAGGACTCGATCGTGGCCGTAGATCGGCGGCCACGCCTCTGATAAACCTTCCCCGAGCTGATGTCCTCATCAAATACATTATAGACTAATTAAAAAAAGATACAATTGGACTTGAGTCTAAAAAAGATTCATAAAGGTAGGGCTTTAGATTCAAATTAGACAGCAATTAAAATTTGTGAAGTTATGGAGGAAATTTTATTGACTTAGTTAATAATTATTTTCAATAAAATTTTGATGACTAAAATGATGACAAATGATTAAAAAAGTAATTTGGCACTAATAGTCTAATATTTAAGAACAAAAATGAGGTTCAAGATGTTGTGATAAATGTAGATGAATCAAACTTATGAGTCAACTAAGGAAGCTATGAAATCTAGTAATGAAACATAGGCTTAAAAAATTACTTCAATTTTGAAGAACTAATTTCATTTCAGGACAAGAAGATGTATTATGAAAGTGCTTTTGTGTTAAGATAATTAATGAATAAGAATATTAGAAACAAAAAGGATCTTAATATGATTTTATTAGTCTTGAGAAGGCGTATATTAAAGTACCATGAGAGTTGACTTTAATGAACAAAGATGCATTTCAAAGATATGTTAATGTTATCAAAGATACATACAAAATAAAGCACTAACTAGTATTATCAGTAGTTGTAGAGTATTCTAAGAGTTTTCAATTACTATAGGCTTACATCCATGATCGTAATTGACTCTATATATATTTGTATAAATTATGGAGATGCTAACAAAGAACATTCAAAACGAAGTGTCTTGATGTATGTTTTTTTTCAAATGATATATTTCAAATAGATGAGACATTCACTAAAATTAGAACAGTGAAAGAAACATTTTGAAGATGAAGGCCTTCTAATTAGTAGACCAAAAATTGAATATATGATTTGTAGTTTTGATATTGCATGATCATAAGATGATACCTAACTGCAAGAGGTTTAAATAACTTGGATCAACTAACCAGAAAAATGGAGATATAGATGATGGTAAAATTTATATATTTTATGAAGGATGGTTAAAATGGAGAAGTACATTAGGAGTTTTGTGTGATAAGTATATATCATTAAGAATTAAAGTTAATTATTATAAAATCATAATTAAGCCGGTGACGTGGTATGAAATTGAATGTTGAGCTATGAAAAATTATAGATGTATAAGTTGAGAATGACATAAATGAGAATTGCTACAATGGATATCTAACAAAACTGAAAAGTATAATTTAAGGAATTATTATATTAGTGCCTTGATGTATGCTTTTTTCCAAATAATATATTTCAAATAGATGAGACATTCACTAAAATCAGTGAAAATTAGAACAATGAAAGAAACATTTTGAAGATGAAGGCCTTCTAATTGGTAGACCAGAAATTGAATGTATGATTTGTAGTTTTATAATTGCATGATATTAACAACAATTATTCAATATATTAGAAGATAAGATGATACCTAAGTGCAAAAGGTTCAGAGCCCTGCATTGGGTGCCCATATCCACACCCACCCACGTACCCACCCATACCCAATGGGCATGGGTGGGTGTGAGTACGCCCATAACCTCTTGGGTGGGTAAGGGTGGGTATTCAACATCAGGAGACAAATCAATTTACATTACTAATCATCATATGCATGCAATAGATTACAGTAATCCTTACTACACAGTGTGCAGCACTGTACCGCATCGCGACCACGATAAATTTTGATATGTGGCTTGAAAGTTTGGAGTCAGAGAAAATGACAAAAAACCTTAAGGCCATTAATATATGGCAGACTGCTTTCAAGAAGCGTGGAAAGTGGGTGGGTGTGGGTGGGTATGACATCCCGAAAGTCACCATAGGTGGGCGTGGGTGGACAAAGCCTGCCAGCGGAGAGCGTGGGTACCCAATGGGTACCCAACCAGGACCCCATGTAGGGCTCTAGAAAGGTTTAAATATCTTGGATCAATTAACCAGAAAAATGGAGATATAGATGATGGTAAAATTTCTATACTTTATGAAGGATAGTTAAAATGGAGAAGCACATCAGGAGTTTTGTGTGATAAGTATATATCATTAAGACTTAAATTTAATTGTTATAAAACCATAATTAAGCCTGTGATGTGGTATGAAATTGAATGTTGGGCTATGAAAAATTATAAATGTATAAGTTGAGAACGACATAAATGAGAATTACTACAATAGATGTCTGACAAAACTGAAAAGTATAAATTAAGAATTATTACATTAGAGAAAATTTTCGAGTGTATATATATAACACCTAAGAGTGAGGATTCATAATACAAGCCCCAAATAAATGTGATAACGCTGATGAGATCCCTTATAAATCTAAAAATAGTATGCGGTGAAGAATGTGTGCATTTTATGGTAATGAGTGGTGTGGTTTACATACACGGTATGCCAACATTTCTTCACCTGAAAGAGTTGCAAGTAACATCCCCTGGCTTGCTGAATCTCAGAGGCATACAAGTGTGATCTAATAGCACCTAAAAGGTAACGTCCTTACACAGTCTCAAGCCTCGAAATCGATGGTTATCCTTTTCTTCTTAATTTTCTGTTCCTCAATAAAAAACAAAATTGAAGTTGCTCTAAGTTCATCACTAATGTTTTCCAGCAGGAACAGATATCTCATTCAAACTCCAGTTTCATGTTTTAAGATTATCACGTCACAGCATCTTCAAAAACCACTCCATCAATCCAGAACAACAGAAATGAAAATTGATCTAGTCATCCACCCAATCATCCTATTCAATGAATAAATTTTAAAAATTCATCAACCCAAACAAAAGACTGAGACAGGAAATTCTCTGGAACATCCAAGCCTGGGAAAGAAAATCAAGTCTTGGAAATAACCATCACAAATCAAGTCAAACAGAAAAAAAAATCGACAAAGAGCCAGTAAAAATTCGAAAGCAAGCACAAAAGAGCTAGGTTACCTATGAGGTTGGCTAGAGTCATGATAAGCTTCGGCTTGAGGATGGGAATGACGGACTCCCGCTCCAGCCGCATCACGTCCTTGCTTCTCACATTTGGCCCTACTTCCTTCACCGCCGGCGAGCCACTGCCGCCGGAGATAGGCATGTCTTCACTTCTTTGGATCAAACAGCTTCGTCACCCAGTCTGTAACTATTCGATGGCTGAAGAAAGAGAGATAAGGAGAGAATTGGAGGAATGAAAGGAAAGTATTCACCTTCGGAATCAAAAACGTTTCTTTCCCAACAATCAAACGCCGGAGAGAGATATAGAGAAGAGGGCTTAGTCGTTTGAGAAACGCCCAATTCATTTTTTTACTACGCAGTGGAGGAACTTATTATGCCGACGCCATAATTGCGAATAAATAATTGTTTTCCAGCCTTCCAGCTCTCCTGTTCTGTTCCACTAATTTTCAAACGGTTCTTTCAAATTTGCTGATTTGAAAAAAAAAAAACTGATAAAATTTGGTTAAAATTAATTTAACTAAACAAGCAATTCATATCCTTAGGCACCAAAACATGCTCTTATATAACTTTCTTCATCCACATTAGAACTTCTCAAAATCACATAATTCAATCAGATAAACATATAATTCATTGCATCATAGCAACATGAATGTAAATAAGCTAATTTCAAAAATTATTAAAACTGTCATAAAGTTAGGCAGCATAATACACTACCTTGTAGATCACAGTTAAAAATGTAGCGAAATTAGTAGATATTGTTCAGACTTGAGAATACTAATTAAAGTCTTTCATTGTGCTACAACATTATTTTTTGGTGTTGAGATTATTCTCTAATCAATTAAAATAACGTAATTTTCAAAGTTTCTCATATAAAATTTTTCAAAAAAATACTTAAATGCTGAGAATTGCAGTCTCTATCATAAAGTTACAATGTGAAAGTTTTGCAGATAAAAAGTTATACTTAGTTTTCGCTAACACGAATACAAATTAATTAGAATTTAAAATTTTTCATATTTTAAAAATTGAGATTGGCAATATGTGATATATCTCAATCTGAGTTATTTTCAAAACGAACCGTTAGTTGAAAATGACATGAAGTAGTCCAAATCTAACTTTTCTCTCACTATGATTCTCTCACATTCTCTCTCTCTTGTCGGCAGCCCTCGGGAGAAAATGAAATATCATTTTAGTGGAAATTGATTTTTAAAAATAAAATTCAAGCCTAGCGTTGTGGCACCCAACAGTGCTAGCCACGGGCCCACGATGCTCCCTCAAGGAGCCCACAATGCTGTAGCACCAATCCAGTGCCGTTGTTTTTTTTTTCGATTTTCCAAAAAAGCTCGGCACCAAGGTGCCACTGACCTCAGCATCACGATACCCACGAGGAAAAATTCAAACTTTTTCAAGCATGTAAACAGACCCCATGATCCATTTCAAAAAACGTGCACACAGAGCATTCACAGACACATACATAAGGATTTAAACATAAAAAGTTAATGGATTACCATGAATCGGTCAAGTCATAACGGATTGAACATTACATGGACTTTGTAGGTGTTATATTGATATCGTACAACAATCTTATAAGCGATTGCGTGTGTTGTCATTGTTGGAGATAGTATGTGATGAAATCAAGTCATTGGAGCAGCCAAGTGACACATATTAAAATGCTTTGGGTCAATGAACCATAATTAATGGGCGGCATAGGTCAGAAGGATCATAATCAGACTACAGTGATCATAGTATTGTAATAAGGCAACAGTGGTCTGAGGATCGTAGTTGGCCACCTGTAATCTGACCATGGTCGAGCGATGATGTTCTGAGCACCAAAAATATAAATAAACATATCAAATGCCGCTTCATGCTTGGGTTTGATTATTTTAAGATGCTTCATATACTAGATTGAGTTAGCCATGCTCAAAATAGGCCACTTGAACTTGAATAGGAAAGTATCCCCCTAGCTTGATCTTCTAGCCCTTTCTAAAGATGAATCAAGTCATTTATCCTCTTTCTATTCAATTTCAAGCCCTTTATACATCTTTAGGTTCAATCCTAAGTTAACTTAAACGAAAACCCTATTTCAGCCCAAAGCCTAAGCTAACTAGGATTAAATCCTATGATGACCATAGGACCCCATAAAATTTTACACCACACAACAACCCCTCTAAGTTGACACAAGGAGAATAGGGATAAGTCCTACTAACCTTTTTTTATATCATAAATTCATAATCGAAAGAAGTGAAAATATCTATAATTCACTAGAGCATAAGCACTTCAAAAATAAAATTTCCATATATTAAATTATAGAACTACTAATATAAATTATGATTCTTTTGTATAGTATCAAAAGATTTCATATGAATCATAATTGACATATATGCCAAATTTTTATCTTATAATAAAATTATATACCTAAAAGACAATTTAGAATAAAATATCAAAATATGACCCTTATTTGGGTTCTAATTTGTTCTTTCATTTCCCTAAAATTGCAATGCTTTATGGTGCTGAATGTTGGCCATTAAAAGAGAAACATAATACTAAGTTAATTGTGGCAGAGATGAGGATGCTCAGGTGGATGAGTGGATTTACCCTTAGAGATAGGATACAAAATGAGCATATACGTGAAAAGGTTGGAGTAGCTCCAGTAGAAGATAACATATGAGAGAGTCGCCTTAGATGGTTTGGTCATATAAAACGGCGACCTTCCAATGACCCGGTTAGGAGAGTAGAGGTATTAGATTTGACTTATGTTAAGAAAGGTAGAGGCAGACCTAAAAAGACTTGGTTATAAAATATTAGGAATGACCTTTCTTTATTAGATTTAAACGAGAATTTGACCTTTAATAGGATATAATGGAGAAAAAGGATTCATATAGCCGACCCTACGTAGTGGGATAAAGGCTTGATGTTGTTGTTGTTGTATTTCCCTAAAATGACATTCAACATAACATAGTATGAGCTAAAACTCATCAAATAAATAATTTAAAGACACAATGCAACCATCACAAAAATTTACTCATATATTAGTCCAATATACTAATTGAAGTCCTTGCATATGAAATACCCGAATCAACACTTAGATTTACTCGTAAGTAAAATATCTAATAATAAACATAACTTTAGGTAAAACATTAGAGTTTACGTATTAACAATTTTTCATAAAAAGTATGTACATATATCTTTATGTTAACAAATTGCCTATAAATTTTTTGAATTAGTTACACATGTCATATGCATTTCTTTTTTTAGCTTGAGAATATATCTTATATGTGGAAGTGGTTTATTAGCTATAATTAGCTTAAAAGCTACATGTCAATGGAGAAATTATTCGGTGCGGACATCAGATCTTTCGGAGGAGAATCAGAGCGTCCCACGTCACCTGGTACATAGCCGCGATACACAGCAAAGGAATGATGTGACATGCTCTAATTCGCTCTAGATGGCATCCGGTGTCCACAAAGAATAATTTTTCCATGCCAATGACCCTTTTGCCTCCATACAGGCCTATATTTATTACCCTAATTGTACATATATGTCATCATACACATTTACTGAAGGTTCATTTTGCCTCTCAATGAATGAGACCTTCGAGGTGGATCAAAAGGGAGAGGCATCAACTTATATTTTGTTTGGGACAACTTTATATATATAATATATGATTTTATTAAAAAATAATAATTTAAGTTTTAAGATGTGTGAAAAATGGGATATATAAAATCTGGGATTTTTTTACCTTTTAAATTTTTTGGAATATTACATTAAACTTGCTCTAGACTTCTTAATTATCAATCATAAATTCAAATATTTCACCATGATTTGGTTTGACTATAAATGGTCCTAATCTTAGCCTAACATTGATCATGGTGGACCAAATTTGTGATATGCATATTCAATGTCTTTTTTTTTATGTTAAAAAATTGGTGAGCCCGATTTGTTGTTTTGATGATTAAAAACAATATTGTTTAGATCACTTATTGTTTTTTTTTTTTTTTTAATTCTCCATTGGTTTTTTTTTTTTTTTTAAGTCGGTAATACAAGATTGTAATTCTCTTTTTTGGAGTCTTTTGGTATTCATGTGTAAGTTGGAAAGATAACCGAGCATATACTTAGTGTGGATAGAAAATTTAACACTTGATTTCTCTGTTAATTCGTATTGTAAGTCACAATCATATTGCATGATTAATTATTCTAAAAAACAAAACAAGCATTTAATTAATTAATAAATTAAAATCTAGCATAATTAATAGTGTTATGCGATATTGATTGTATATGATGATCAGTTATTTTGATATATACCCGCTCAAAATTCTGAATTTTCAAAAACATGCAATTTTGAAATTTAAACTAATTGTATTAGACAATCTTGATCGTGTTGTATGAATAGTAAAGAACATGCCTATTTTGATCCAAGAACCAAACAATCGAATCAGGATCAAGCGTGAGTGGCATTCGTATTTTGCGATTCAAATCATTTTGTATGATTTAACATAATATTTGGTGGACAAATAATGGTTCGTTCGGTACAATCAAACAGAATATTTGATGGACAAAGTCTTAAATCTCTTCAAATTTTCCAAGAATTTTTTAGGTATCATTTTTTTATATTTGATAATTAAAATACCCTATATTTTAAACATTAAATTTAAAATATATATATATCCCAAAGAATTATGAGAAAGTTTGGGGATGGATAATGCATTAAATTTAATTTTTTAATTATTTAGACTTTTTCTTTACTATTTTTTATATTTTGAATTTTCAAATAGGAAATTTGAAATTACCATTTTGCCCTATTGTCACTGAGAGCTTAATTTTTTTTTTAGTATTATTATTTAAGATAATTTTTTCACTATTATAATACAAAATATTTTTATCGTTAATTATAGAGAAATACCTCAAATAGTCTTTGGAAATTTAGGGAAGCCCAAAATCAACATTTTGAACTATCAAGTGAATTGATAGATTTTTCCAAAATAAATATGGAATTATTTCCAACACTAAAATCCTTTTTCCCTAATTAAAAAAATTAAGAAATTCAATTTCATTGCATATAATCACTGTATGTATTTCAATTTAAAAATCATTTAATAGATTTGAAGCACTTCCAAATTTGTTTGGATTTTTGCAAATTTATATACTGATTTTCATGATTAATGTTATATTTTTATCAATAATAAAAATAACAAAAAAATTAAAAAAATCCTATAATTATATGATTTTTTTAACTTCCCTAATTATTGATGTAATTAAGGAAATTAGAATTTAACATTTGACTTTGATCTTTGACATATCTTTGAAGTTAACTTTTTGATTTTCAATTTTCTTTTCCAATTTTAAACATCACTTTTAATTTAAGGGTATTTGATTATTT